AGAAATATATAAAAAAAAAAATCTAAAAAATGCAAAATATTAATAATGATAATAACAATAACAACAATAACAATAATAATAAAACAAATAAAACAAAAAAAAAACACATGAAAAAAAAAAATTAATAAAACAAAACAAAAAAATGGAAAAAAAAATAAAAAAAGCGAGATTTCTAAAAAGAGCAGAGACATATTCAACACCCCCCACCCCACCCCCCCCCACCCCGCCCTCGACATCCAACCCAATATCGGGCGTAACTGCTGACCCAGGGAGTGCAAAGACCGTAGACTTCTGCAGGGGGGGGGGCGGGAGAGAGAGACGGCCGAAGAGACAGGCGACGAGAAAGGGAATAAAAGGGGGGGGAGATAAAAGGGAACAGGAGAGGGGGGAGATAAGAAAGAGAAAAATGAGAGTGGGGTGAGGGAGAGGGAAGAGAAAGGGTGAGGGGAGGGGGAAAGGGAGGCAAAGAGGGAAAGAGGAGGGAGAGATGAAGGAGGAAAAGATGGAAGGTGGGAAAGAGGGAGAGGGAGGGAAGGAAGGTGGAGGAAAGGGAGGGAAAGAGGGAGAGGGAGGGAGGGAAGGTGGGAGAAAGGGAGAGATAGAGGGAGAAAGAGAAGAGGGAGGGAGTGAGAGAGAGAGAGAGTAAAGAGTAAAAAGGAGAAAGTAGAAAAAAACAAAGTACAGGAGGAAGAAAAAGTGAGCAAAAAAAGAATAAGATAGTAAACGATGAAAAAGGGAGATGAGAAAACGCAGCGATAAAACTTCCAAAGAAGAATATATGAAAGCCAAAAAAAAAAAGATAATAAAGGCCTAAAAAAAGCGAGCGAAAGACGGTATAAATCTGGATAACGGGATAAATATAGCAGAAGGAGGAATAAGAAGGAGAGAAAAATATAGACGTCAGGTGGAAGCAACAACAGGAGGAGCGAGGGGGAGGGGAGACGGGGAGGGGAGGGGGAAATGGGGGAGGGAGGAGGAAAGATGAGGGAGACGGAAGGGGAGGAGGGAGAGGAAGGAGGAGGAGGAGGGGAGATGAGGGGAGAGAGGAGGAGGGAAGGAAGAAATGAGGGAGAGGGAAGGAGGAGGAGAAAGATGAGGGAGAAGGGAAGGAGGAGGAGGGAGGAGGAGGAGAGATGGGGATGGAGGGGAAGAGAGAATAGGGGAAGGAAAAAAGAGACAGGATGAGGGGGGAAGGGAGACGGAAGGGGAGATGGGAGTGAGGGGAAAGAAAGAGATATGCAGATGTTGGAGGGTGAAGCGAAGGAGGAGGAGGAAGAGGAGAGGAGGAGGAGGAGGAGGAGGAGAGAGGGGAAGAAATTCTGAGGAGGAGGAGGAGGAGGAGGAGGAGGAGGAAGAGAGAGCTGGGAAGAATTCTGAGGAGGAGGATACAGCTGTGAGTGAGAACCCCCGGTGCATGCGAGATGAAACGGGAGATGCGGTGGAGGGTGAGGGAGAGGGGGGGGGGGCGCGGAGGGGGAGCGGGGGGGGGGGCGGGGGATGCGAAATGCTAAAAGATGGTGGCATCGAAAGCGAGGAATGGGGAAAAGCAGCGAAGGAAATGAAGCAAAAACGACGATGTGTATATATAGCTGTTTGGGTGAATGGATGTGGGAGGGGGGAAGGAGGGGGGGGAGGGAGGTACAGGGAAGGAGGATGGGAGGGCAGGAGGAAGGGCAGGAGGAAGGGAAGGAAGGGAAGGAGGAAGGGGCGGAAGGGGAGGGGGGAAGGAGAGGTAGGGGAGGGAAGGGGCGGAAGGGGAGGAGGATGGGAGGGAAAGAGGAAGGAGAGGGAGGGAAGGAAGGGGAGGAAAGGAGGGAGGAGAAGAGGGGAAGAGGGAGGAGAGGAGGGAAGGAAGGGAGGGAGAGAAGAAAAGCTTGCAACAAAGGAGGCAAGGAATAAGATTATGTTTGTTAGAAAGTATATATACAGACATACATAGTGCACATGCATGTATTCATAGGAAAAGAGGGAGGAGGGAAGGAGTTGGGGTAGGTATGTGTGTATATATATAATATTATATATATATATATATATATATATATATATATATATATATATATATATGGAGACAGACAGACAGAGACAGGCATACAGAGTAGGAGCGAGTGTGCGCGAAAAGACCGCCGAAACAAATAACAAAAAAAAAGCGAGAGAGACAAAATATATATATAGAGAGAGAGAGAGACCAAGAGAGAGAAACACACACACAAAAAAAAAAAGTAGATAAAAAAAGACCCCCAAAAGAAATCTCCAACACGACCACCACCACGACAACAATAACAAACTCAAAACTCTTGAAGCTCAAAATAATGAAGAAAATGCAGCATATTATACCGAGCAGCAAGAGCTCGCACTTTGCATATCCTATTTGTTCCGGAGAAACGAATCCTGCTGGAAGGAGCGGAGGAGAGGGGGGGGAGGGAGGGAGGGAGGAGGAAAGAGGAGGGGAGAGGGGGGGGGGGGGAGGAGGAGGAAAGAGGGAGGAGGAGGAAAGAGGAGC